AAAAAAAAAAAAGGAATTAAACATCCTTCAACCTCTTTTCACTTCTCACCTAGTACCCTCCAGCCCATACCCACAAAACTCTCTCCTGTCGAAAGCTTAGCACCAATACTCACTGACGTGACCAGTTATTACGGAGCTGGGCAATAGACCATCCATGCTGTGTCACTTCATAAATTATAAATATCTCAGCTTTTTTCTAAAAATATACAAGGACTAAGACCCCAGATGTCAAATTGAAATGAATCTTCCAAAGGATGATCAGAGAGTTCTGCATGGAGAATCTACTGGTTGAAAAGGGTCATCAGGGACAATCTGCAGGTAAAAAGGGTCACCTCATAAACAGTTCTCCATTTCCTCCCCCATGAAATTTGTCTTACCCTTGAAATTGTATCATTTTGAGGCCTTTTACTATCAAAGTAGGCTCAGGAAATCTCTGTCCCATTTTAAATCTATAGCTCAAGAATTGGCTGGCATGGCAACTCCTACCTGTAATCCCAGTGCTGTGGGAGGCTGAGGGGGAAGGATCCCTTAAGGGCAGGAACTCAAGACCATGTTAAACAACATATTGAGACCCCACCTCTACAAAAAAATTTTTAAAATTAGCTGAGTGTGGTGGCACACACCTGTAGTCCTAGCTACTAGAAAGGCTGAGGCAGGAGTAGTCCTAGCTACTGGAGAAGCTATAACCAGGAGTTTGATGTTATAGTGAGCTATGACTGTACCTGCACTCCAGGCCTGGGTGATTGAGTAAGACCCTAGCTCTAGAAAAAAAATACACTATAGTCCAAGAATGGCTAAACTGAAATCATTTGCCTGGTCCCCTATAAACAGCTAAACAAGGCTAGAATATACTTTTCTTATTTATAAAATGAGAGACAGAGAGTAGAAAAGGGGGCTGAGACCACTTGTAACCCACCACTACAACACTACCCAGCAGGCTTATATACTTCCTTCTAATCATTCTTTGTAAGCATTCAGACAGTAATTTACAGGTAAATGAGGTAATTTTTGCAAATACAAAATACACTGATACACTCCAGGAAAACATAGCCTTATAGGTAGAACCTTTATTCCATATCAGCTAATGCA